GGTATTTGTAAGAATCCACCGGGCCTGAATGAAAACAACCAATCAGAGCTGAGAAAGGTTGATTGTTGGGTCCCAGGATGTCAAACACAGATGCTTTGGGTTGGTGCCTTAAACATAGTTGATTGTTGAGTCCCCTAAAGAGTAACTAAGTACATATACTCAAACACTGTACCTTTACACTATACTTTACCTCAAACAGAAGTATGTCCATACTACTTTATACTTGGAAACATTTTACTTTTTACTCCACAGCTGTTAGTTACCAGTTAGATACAGTACTGAGATTTTACCTTAAGAAACACAAACATATGAATTACGCATATAAAATACACAACCTTTTAGGCTTGTGACCCTTTAAAAAAAAATCTGTGTCTGGTTGGGGTTTAGCTGCAGCCTCCATGGTTGGCAAATTAAGTTAAAATGGAAGTTAAAAAGACTGCAGTTCTTCTAACAGCCACATGAGGCTGGCTCTAGCAGTGAGTCAATCTCCATAAGGCCCCATATTAAACCGCCCATACACCAGGCCGACTCATTCACGAGCAGGGCTCAGCTGTCAATCATGACGTGAACCCACCTTTTTATAGCTTCAAATAACTAAAACCAAACAGATTAGAAAAAAGAGCACTTGAACATACATCAGCATGATAAGAACTACATAAAATGACAGAAACCATCTTTGGGGAAATAATATGTGATGTGTATGTGTGATTTTTTTTGTTTGGAACATGTCCCATCTGCTAACATGGAAGCAGCAGGCTTTATAGCCAGCCACCAGCAGAGATGCTGTCATGTCATCCATCTTTATTTCTGTCGATGCAGAACTTCTCTCAACACACAGAAAGGCTCTAGGTAAGTTGGAGAGTACCATTTAAAAAAATTTATCATTTAATACTTGTTTATTTATTGTGTTTACTTATGTAGCTTATAAATGAATGACTGATTTAGATGGTTCACATTGTCCCAACTTGTAGATGTCAGAGTGAAATCATAAAAACACAGGTCCACAGCTTACTGGGAACAATTTTTGAAATGCAGACTTTTTTGTTTTGTTTCTAAAACTAAAAGATTTGGGTCAATTACCTAAACAAAAGAATATCATTAGGCCGCCAAAACGTTCTTGAGTATATATGTTTTCTCAGTGTGTTTATTGTTTTTTAAAAAGTAGCAGCCTAGAGAAATACAGCAGAAGAAACACACACAATTGTTCATGTTCATCATCATCAGTCACTATGTTGCTGTGCACCTCTGTCTGTCTGTCTGTCTGTCTCTCACCCCAACTGGTCAAGGCAGACGACCACCCACCTAGAGCCGGGGTCTGTCCTAGGTTTCTGCCTCTTAAAAGGAAGTTTTTCCTTGCCTCTGTTGCCA